AGAGAGAGAGAGAGAGAGAGAGAGAAAGTGAGAGAGAGAGAGAGAGAGAGAGCGAGAGAGAGCGAGAGAGAGAAAGAGAGAGAGAGAGAGAGAGAGAAAGAGACAGAGACAGAGAGAGAGATAGCTAGCTACACACACACACACACACACACACACACACACACACACACACACACACACACACACACACACATACACACACACACACAAAGACAAAAACAAAATCAAAACCGGAAATCATTCGCCATTCTGTCCTCAGATTTCCGAGTGTGGCGTTTCAGCAACTTCCGGCTGGACAGCGGCTACCCGCGGGTTTGGACCAATGATCACAGCCATCTGCCGTCTGCAGCCTTGACCCTCAACCTCAACGGGAACTCACAAGTGTTTCTGTTCGGCGTAAGCTCTAACTTTTTATGGTCGCTTTTAAGGACAAGCGGGCTAACCCAGATTTCGGGGGTTTCCAGAAATCTTGACCTACACCAAAAGTGGGTATTGCCGTACCTATAGGAGAAGTTTGGTTTAATTGGTGTGTATATTTCTTGGGTTATAGAGGGAACTCTCCTTGTCTTTTTAAGAAACTGAAAAAGGGGCAAAACTTTATCTTCGATTTTCTTATAACAGCATTTTTTTTCCTTAATAGCCTTTTTGTGCTTGAAAGCGACTGTATCTATCTATACATATTATATTTGTGAAAGTTTGTCACTTTGGCCGCCTAAAACTTCCGAACCATTTACCTTTCGAATTTGAAAAAATTAAGTGTGGTTCAGAATCATTTAAAAGGGAGCACAGTTTTATTGAAGAGTCTGAGATCACTGTAGTTTAATTTTCAGTTTTTCATTCGTTTTGCTCGATCTAGATTCTTATCTTCGGAAAGTCCGTCTTCTAAGACGCCATTGTAAACAAGTAAGGTTTCCGTTCACTAGCCGTGCGTACTTATTCCACACCTTTGAAATTTAGGAGTGTACAACAACGAAAACGGAATAGAGAATCAATCTATACATCTATTATATATTCGGCAACTTGGAAACACAAGTGTCACTTTTCTCTCAAGATTTATTGCTTCATTCTGGTAGTGTAAATATAGTAGGCCAATGACTTTCAATTGATGTTTATGAACCGATCATTCCTTTCATCGAAAGGGGGCTCTGCTAGTATTATTATATTTGTGTGACTATGTTATAGACAGCGAAATATCTTGTCAGTGTGTAAGTGTTTGAGCTCTTCTTCAGCTGCTTGCACTGTATGCTTCCCGGGAAGCTGAAAATGTTTCTGAGTGGTCTACGTTCTGCTGGGGTAATAATATAGTGTAAAGCGCATAGAGCTTGCTGTTGAGCGGGGGTATGCGCTGTACAAGCCATCTATTATTATAGTATTTGTACGTTTCGGGGGGGGGGGGGGGGGGTTGAATAAGTCAAAGCTCTTCTAGATCCAAATTGGACCGTTTTTACACTGCACGTGACTCCAAGACTTAGCTTAGTTAAGAATCGCAAGAGAAGAGCAAAAAGACGGAAACAAGGCAAACGGCATACACTGCCAAAACCGTTCTAAAGCGGAAGGGGGATAATACATATTTTCCAATTCTCAACAAATTTTATATGTGAGGCAGCGTGGTGGATTCAGGCTCTCGTCAAAATAATAAAAGTGAAGAAACTTTCATTTTCCCGCAGGTTTGTGAATTTTTATCAAATTGTTGTTTATTTTTTGGCTAAACGCCTTTCATGCCCTTTAAAAAACTCATTTCTGTGTGAATTTGTCTGAAAAACGTTGATTAAAGGCACAAAAAATGTAAATTTTCAGTTACCACGGACTCTTAAGCTTAGGAAATAACTAAACTTTGGCGGCCATTTTCTCACTAATTTTACCTCTGAAAACAAGTGACCCCCACCTCTTTCTTTCGCAAATATCTCGACTTGCATTCAAGATAAATGGATATTTTTTTCATCCAAATAAAGACAAGTGAACAAGCTTAAAGATGACACCATTAAATCTACATGCCCAAAAATTGACGAGAGCCTGATTCCACCACGCTGCCTCCCATATACTGAATTATCTCCCTTCGACAACAACTATTCAATAATCCTTATTGGTTTTATAATGTGTCAGGACACCGCGGTATGTAGGAGCTCGTCAGTATTTCGGGTATAGGGGATATAATGATTACATGGTAGTAGTTTGGTTTCGTTGCTGTGTATTATTTGTTTGGTTACAGAGAAAACTCTCCTAGCCTTTTAAAGAAATTGAACAAGGGTCCAAAAACTTTACCTTCGATTTTCTCAAAACTGCATTTTTCAGGATAGCCCCCTTGTGCTTAAAAGCAACCATATACCATTATATTAATGTATTATACGTGACTTCTGGAGCCCCAAGTTATTTCTTCCTAGAGCGGTTAAAATCCAGCGAGTATGAGCAGCAGTTGTCCAAGACAAACGGGCATTCGGGCTACGAGTGTTAAGTACATTTGATTGCTAGAGCACGTCTTCTGCTTAAATTTGTAGTCTTAACTATAATTTCTCTACAACGACACTATCGCCACAATGCCATCAATAAATTGGTCCAAACGTTGCTTTTTCCCCCCTGCAGCATGACCACTTCTGGGAGTGGGACGTTGTGAGGGAGAAGATGGTGCCCAACTACCCACTGTCCCTGGCCAAGTACTTCCCGCACGCGCCTCTCTTACCTGATGCTGCCTTCCTGACGTCGCACGGGAACTTCATCTTCTTCAAATACAGCGGGTAAGAAGAGTGTTAGAGTGTGTTTTGGGGAGAGGTGGAGGGAGAGAGGGAGAGGGAGAGGGGGAGGGAGGGAGGGAAAGAGAGAGAGAGAGAGAGAGAGAGAGGGAGAGGGGAGAGAAAGAGAAGAGAGAGAGAGAGAGAGAGAGAGAGAGAGAGAGAGGGGGGGAGAGGGGTGATAGAGGGGGATAGAGGGAGAGAGGGAGAGAGGGAAAGAGAGAGAAGAGAGGGAGGGGGGATAGAGGGTAATGTGGAGTTCTTGGTATCATCTGAAAGCTGATTTATTTGCCTTGTTGCTTCTAATGGAATAAATATCCATCTATCTTGAATAGAACTCCAGATATTTGAGGTTTCAGTGGGGAAATTAGCGAGAAAATGGCTGCCTAAATGAGGTTCTTCCAATAGTTAGAGAGTCTTTAAAAACAGAAAAATGACATATTTAGTGCCTTTAATCAATGTTTTTCAGTAAAACTCACATGGAAATGTGTTTTTATTTAGACAAAAAGGGGTTGAGCCAAAAAATAAACATTCGATAAAAATTTCCAAAGTGGCAGAAAAATGCCTGTTTCTCATATTTCTGTATTTTGACGAGCGCCTGATTTCACCATGTGAGCGGTGGAATCACGCTCTCGTCAAAATAATCAAAGTGCAGAAACTTGCCTTCTTCCGCAGGTTTGTGAATTTTTATCAAATTTTTGTTTTTCGGCTCAGCTCCTTTCATGCCCATTAAAGAACTCATTTCTGTGTGGATTTTTCTGAAAAACGTTGATTAAAAGCACAAAAAATGTAAATGTTCAGTTACCACGGACTCTTAATTAGCAAAGGAAATAACTAATCTTTGGTGCTATTTTCTCACTAATTTTACATCTTACAACAGGTGACCCCCACTTCCTTCATTCACAAATATCTCTACTTATATTCAAGATAAATAGATATTTTTTTCAACCCAAAAAAAAAAAGAAAAAAAAGACAAGTGAACAAGTTTTAAGATGATACCAAATAACTCTACATGCCAAAAATTTGACGAGAGCCTGATTTTACCCTGCTGCCTCACATATTATTCTTCTTCCCAGGTACAAACGATTGGAGCACAGGCGCGAGAACTCGCCCACTCTCTCTCTGGGACCAGACCTGTTCGGTGACGTCTGCAAAGGGTCAGCCACTCTAGGAGCGGGGGAACAGCGCCCCCTGTTTGTTGACCTCATGACGTCACGAGGGTCACAGCAGCTGCGCTTGTCTCCCCTGGTGTGGGCTTTGGTCAACAGGAGTTATTAGCTGGCGTCGGCAGCCAAGTGGTTAGGCAACCGGACTCGTAATTGTGAGATTGTGGGTTCGGGGGTTCGAGCCCCAGCTCGGTCCGACGTTGTGTCCTTGGGAAAGGCACTTTACACGAACTTCCCACTTGGCTCGATCCTCTCGGAGACGGACGTTAAACTAGGAGGTCCCGCCCCTTAAATAACCTAAGAGTGTTGATAGGGGCGTTAAACGCATACCATTTTTTTCAGGAGTTATTACTTGATCGCTTTTAATTAAGCACAAGGGGGCTAGCCCGAAAAATGCAGTTTCGAGAAAATCGAAAGTTTTTTGCCCCTTGTTCAGTTTTCTCTGTAACAAAACACCAATGAAACCAAACTTCTCCTTTAGGTAGGGCAATGCCCACTCTTGGTGTAGGTCAAGATTTCTGAAAACCCCCGAAATCTGGGATAACCCTCTTGTCTTTAAAAGTGACCAGTTGGAAAGACAACTGGACATCGTTTGAATGGCTCTTTTCATTAAGCTGATTTGCGTCTATGTATAGAATGTAGACAGATTCGACTGCTCAGTCTAAAGCCCACCACTCACTCCGCAGTTAAAAGGGTGCGCCGCCTGTCTTGAGATGGTCTCAAGACCAACTGAACGCCATCTCAAGATGATCTCAAGACAATCTCATCCCCCAAAATCCGGACTGTTCAGTTAAAAATCTCAACAAACCATGAGATCGCGTGAGATCGCTTGAATTCAGAACGAGCCTGAAAATTATCTGTCGGATCGGAGATCAGGGTACTTGACGCCAAAAATAAAAAATAGAAACTTGCAAAGTCAATATTTTGCTAATCTGACTTCAAAATCTTCATTAGCGTCAAATTGTAGTTAGATTTGATACGACACACAGCTATCAAACGTTTGATGTAGCAATGTCAATAAATTGTCATTTGCGTGAGCCAGCTAGTTTTTTTTTTCAAAGACAGTATGTGGTTGAATTGTATTGAATGCTGAGGAAGAATCAACGTATACGAGGGTAATTTTTGTTGATTTTTTCCTCAGTATTCAATACAATCCAACCGCATTTTGTCTTTTAAAAACAGTTGAGTCAGTTGTTGTCATTATATTGCAACTTGGGTTCTGGAATTTTGACAGGCAGACCACAATCTGTTAATCTGAACAACACAAAATCTGAGACAATCCTGCAAGAACAGACAGATAATATAGAAATTCATTTGTACCAACTGCAGTGAGGTTACTGAACACACAGTGCTACAAATGAAACAAAGAGAGAGAGAGAGAGAGAGAGAGAGAGAGAGAGGGAGAGAGAGGGAGGGAGAGAGAGAGAGGGGGGAGAGGGGGGGAGAGAGGGATAGAGAGAGAGAAAGAGAGAGAGAGGGAATGTTTACGGGCGGGTTGTTTCGGCACGTGAGACAGGTATTTTTCCATTGTTCTTTTTTGTTGTACGCATGTGTGAGTGCACACATCCACTGCTATTGTAAACGACCATTTTGATTATCTGCTGGCCTGTGTAGTGTG